ACTTACTCGCTGCTATGTTTGCAGCAAATGCGCTGGTTGACTACAAAACGCAGGCTAACCCTCCAGAGAATGAGTCAAAAGGGAAAGCCAAGTTTCCTAGGAAGGACAAACAGAAGAAAAAGACTGAGAAGTCTGACAATTTAGAAAAATTGACTGACAAAACCTCTTCATCAAAGGGAGGTGCTGACTCAGGCTGTTTTATCTGTAATGGCTCTCATCGTGCCAAAAATTGCCCCCAAAAGGAAAAACTCAGTGCCCTTATGGCTGAGGAAACTGACTGTTCTGACAAACCAACACGAGTCAACCTATTACAACTCCTTAATGCAATTCGCAAAGAGGAGACGGTGAAAAAGAGGGAGTTGTTGTTTGTGCAGATTCGCCTGAATAATATGGCTGTCCAGGCAACAGGTGCAACCCATAATTTTGTTTCTGACCGAAAAGTACAGCGGCTTGGTCTGGCTTTGGTGAAAGACTCTAGCCAAATTAAGGCTGTTAATTCAGAGGCAAAACCAGTAGGCGGCGTCGCAAGAGAAGTTCCTTTAAAAGTTGGTGATTGGCAAGGACCACGTGATTTTATGGCAGTCCCTCTCGATGATTTTCAGGTAATCCTTGGACTGTAATTCCTTACAAAGACAAAGGTGTCTGTTATGCCGTATTTACATGAGATGTTCGTGATGGATATGCCCAATCCCTGCTTTGTTCTCCTCACTAAGGCCAAGTGTTCGGAGGAAATGTTGTCTGCCTTGCAAGTAAAAGATGGCTTGCGGAGGGAGAAAGCAACATACTTGACTGTTCTATTTGAGGAAGAAGAGTCCAAAGCATTACAAGTCCCTGAACCAGTGCAATAGTTGTTGGTTGAGTTCAAGGACGTGGCACCTAAAGAATTGCCAACAAGGTTACCGCCAAGACGGGAGATTGATCATGCCATTGAGTTGATTCTAGGGGCAAAAATCCCTGCCTAGGCTCCTTATCGAATGTCTCCATTAGAGTTGGCGGAGCTAATGAGACAGTTTGAGGGTTTATTGGACATTGAGTTCATTCAACCTTCCAAGGCACCCTATGGAGCCCCTGTTCTATTTTAAAAAAAGAAGGGACGGATTCTTATGACTTTGTGTAGACTACTGAGTCCTTAACAAAGTCACTGTCAAGAACAACTATCCAATGCCGCTTGTTGACGAATTATTTGATAGATTGGGAAAGGTGGTTTTCTTCACCAAGGTGGACTTGCGACTGGGATATCATCTAGTTAGAATTGCAGAGGGAGATGAGGCGAAGACTGCTTGTGTGACAAGGTACGGGTCATATGAGTTTTTAGTCATGCCTTTTGGCTTAACTAACGCCCCTGCTACATTCTGTAACTTGATGACCAACGTATTTCGGGAATACTTAGACCGTTTCATGGTAATTTATTTGGATGACATAGTTGTTTACAACCAGACTCTTGAGGAGCATGTTGAGAATCTTAGGCTAGCTTTGACAAAATTGAGGGAAGCCCAGTTGTATCTGAAATCAGAAAAATATGAGTTTGCACAGAAGAAAATTTCATTCCTTGGGCATATTATTTATGCGGGCATGTTGAAGATGGACCAAAAGAAAGTTGAGGCCATTGCAGATTGGCTTGTCCCTACTAGGTTATTGAACTGCGTTCTTTCCTTGGTTTGACAAACTATTATCGAAAATTTGTGAAGAATTATTCAAAGAAGGTTGCGGTGCTGACTGATCTTCTAAAGAAGGATAGGATATGGAACTGGTCCTACAAATGCCAGGAGGCATTCAATCGATTGAAGGCGGTGGTGACGTCTAGCCCAAATTTACGGTTATCTGACTTTGATTTGCCTTTTGAGGTCCATACAGACGCATCAGACTTTGCTCTTAGAGGGGTGCTGGTGCAGAATGAGCATTCGATGACATTTGAAAGTAGCAAGTTGAATGATACCGAGAGGCGGTATTTAGTACATGAGAAGGAGATGACAACAATCATTCACTACATCAATGCATGGAGGCATTACTTGTTGGGAAAGCATTTCCTTGTACTGATAGATAATGTGGCTATCAGCTGCTTCTATTCCATGAAGAAGCTGACACCAAAACAAGCAAGATGACAGGACTTTCTTGCCTAGTTTCATTTCACGTTGCAGTACAAGTCTGATAGTGCAAATCAGGTTGCTGATGCTCTTAGTCAAATCCCAGTTTGCTGATGGGACAATTGCTGCACTTAGCCAGATTACAGGAGACATATTGCAGAGAATTTAGGATCAAATAAAAGATAATCAGTGACCAGCTTATTGTTGAAGCAGGTTCACGAAGGGGTGACTTGACAATTTTGGGTAGAGGATGGTGTTCTCTACGCCAAAGGAAGGAGATCCTATGTTCTGAAGTCAGGCGGACTTCGACAGATGTTACTGAAAGAAACTCATGATGCTTCGTGGTCAGGACATTCAGGGCAGCAACGGACTCTTACCTTGCTAGCATAAAGCTATTATTGGTCTCGTATAGAAGCAGATGTGGAGCTGTATGTGCGCACTTGTTTGGTGTGCCAGCAAGACAAGACAAAAAAGAAGAAGGTGGCGGGTACGTTAGAATCCCTCCCTATTCCAAGTAGACATTGGGAGAGTGTTTCCATGGACTTCATTAATGGCTTGCCTCAGGTGAACGATTTTACTTCGATATTTGTGGTTGTAGACAGATTTTTGAAGTATACCACTTCCATTGCTGCCCCAAAGTATGTATGGCGGAAGTTACTGCTCAGTTGTTCTTCAAGTATATTGTGAAGCTTTGGGGTCTTCCACTGGATATAGTCAGCAACAGGGACACTCGATTTACTGGCCGATTCTAGACGACTTTATTTGAACCGTTGGACACACAGCTCCACCTTTCTACCAACAATCATCCACAGACAGATGGGCAGACCGAGCGAATTAATGCAATGCTGGAGGAATATCTCAGACACAATGTCACAGCAAACTAGGACAATTGGGTGGATTTACTTGATGTAGCCCAATTTAATTATAACCTCCAACAGAGCTCTTCCACTGGAATGAGCCCATTTGAGTTGACAACTGGCCAACAATCTCTTACCCCGCATGAAGTTGTCAAGCAGAAGTCTCAAGGGAGATTACCTGCAGCATACTGCTTTGCTCGGGCTAATCAGGAGCGGACCGACGAGGCAAAAGACTGTTTAACTAAGACGGCGAAGAGAATGAAAAAGTGGCCAGATGAGAAGAGGAGGGCAGTAGAGTTCGAAGTGGGTGACAAAGTAATGCTGAAATTGACCCCACCAATCTAGAACAAGATCTCTCAAAAGTCTACACACAAGGGACTAATCCAGCGCTATGACGACCCTTTCCTTTTAACAATGAGGATTGACAGGTTGACCTATATATTGGATCTTCCCAGTCATCTCAAGTTTCATCCAGTTTTTCATGTTGCCTTCTTGAAGCCTTATATTGAGGATCCGGAGGACCTCACCAGATACGTTCGGCGTCAGGCTCCTCCAACAATTAGGAAGCAATTCACAGAAATAGCTGAAGCTATTCTTAACCACAAGACTGAGGGAATAAGTAAGAAAAATAGAAGAACTCATTACTTAGTCAAGTGGAAAGAGAAAGCACCGGAGGAAGCCACTTGGGAGAAAGAGATGACATTGTGACAATTTGAGGATCTCATCAAGCAATATCATGCCTCCATTCCAATGAGGTCGCTGGATACTTCATGTGGGGGTGACTTGTCACACCCTAACTGACTTGGATGCAAATAGCCGATCTTGGTGGCACCTTGCACCAAGACATGCTATAAGTTGGAATAAAGGTGACGCGACTAAGTGGTTCGACAGATTGGGGCGAACCAAGGCAGCATTAGACCACCCGGTTGAGCATGGTAGCACGTGGTGGGCTCAATTGAAGCAATATGAGTGCATAACTTCGGATTGCATGGCATGGGTTGAACCCAACATGCACATTGGTTCGTGAAGCAAGACTAACTGCTGAAAGTGGACACATGATTGGCACATGGCTGCTCAATGCATGTGAGTAGGAGGATGTGGACAGTTGTAGATGCTGAGACACAGTCAAGGCAGTTGCTGAGGCAGTTCTGGGCGTCCCTAGTTTGAATTCAATCTAGATGCATGCTGATGAATGACAGTTCTACATCAGTTACTGAAAGAGGTGGAACTGTCTGCCAGGTGTCGTACAGAGACCAAGCCTGCTAGCCAAGTATGCTATGGAATAGCAAAAACGTTTGTAACTACCCCTTGGCAGATGAGGGTGTCATCTGCCTTACTCCTGTATAATTAGGGGTGCTTAAGCATTCTGATAGTGAGAGAGTGTTCTGGCTTTGAGAGTTCCTTCTAAATTGTTGAGTTCAGTATATAAGGTTTGGAAGATTTGTCCCAATAAATTCGTGTGTACTTTCTGTGTGAGTTTCTGTTCCTTGTTCTTGAGTTTGTGTGTGGCTGGTTGCAATAGCAACGCCTTCACAGATAATCTCGAAAGAAAAACGAAAGTTACTTCGTGACATTTAGGGTGATTCAGTAGTTGTATTTGACTTTTGATAACCTAGAGATCTCAAGTTTTATCTCTTCTCATACCCTTTAATAACTAGTCACAGGGACATATTTTAACCTAGGTGAAAATACGATGACCAATTATTAAACCCGAAAGAACTTGAACACCCAATTAAAAAAAAAAAATTAATTCTGAACATTATCAAAACTCGAAGGACTAGACTCATGCTGTTAAGTACACAAAAGGGGCTGAATTACATGACGCGGGATGCACAAGACTAGCCGTTAAACAAAACATAGAAATGTGGAAGCATGTGGTTTGGGGCAGTCTCTCTTTGGTGGGACGGTGAAAGCGAAATTGATCAGTCCGGACAGAAAATTGTCCTTCATTGCATCACAACAATTCCACAAAAAAGTAATGACAACCCAATCTCTCCCCCCACCTTCCCTCTCCATTTATACCCCTCCTTTTCACTCTTCTTTTCCAACTCCAACCGCAGGCCTCTCCCTCTCTCACTAACCCATTTTGCTTCTCTCTCTCTCTCTCTCTCTCTCTCTCTCTTACAGACACAGGCAGAGTTAAGTTGTGATCTATGGCTAAGGAGACGAAGCTGGCTGAGCATGGGTCTTTTCCCGGCAAGGACTACCAAGACCCACCACCAGCACCACTCATAGGCGCGGACGAGCTGACCAAATGGTCATTTTACAGAGCTCTGATTGCTGAGTTTATTGCCACTCTCCTCTTCCTTTATATAGGGGTCTTGACCGTGATAGGGTACAAGAGTCAGATTGATCCGGACAAAAACAATAATAACCCATGTGGTGGTGTTGGCATTCTTGGGATTGCTTGGGCCTTTGGTGGCATGATCTTTGTTCTTGTCTACTGTACTGCTGGTATTTCTGGTGGGTTTTTTCTTTCTCAGCTTAATTTTCTTACAAAGGAAATTCATGAAAAGAAATTTGGATGAATAACATAAAGATCCCTTGAACTATAATTCCGGTTTTATAATGACCCTTAAGCTTTTCATTTTCTTAATTTATTCCACGAACTTTTAGATTTATTTCACGTATCAAAACAGATAATATTTTCCATATGAAAATCTCGTGTCTTTGTTATGGCAGGGCATGATGAAAATATGAACTCTTAAACTATCTATGGTTTATTATTTTTTAAGTCTCGCGTTCTGTGTCGGTGGTGGTTGCAAGTTCCAATCTTACTTCTTCTATTTCCTTCTTCTCCGACTTTTATATTTCCATTTTGTTCTTTGTAGTCTTGTTAAGGGTCTTGAAAGGCAAAACAGTTCGGGTTGACTAGGTCCAATTTAGTCATTCCATTATCACAATTAGTGTCCAGCTCCCCCTTGCCATTGTCACTTCCAGAATAACTGTGAAGGTCGACAATCTTTTGATGGACTGGAGTTGACTAATTGACAACGAACTGATAGGAGGAAAAAAAGGGGTGAAATCATTGGACGTAACACAAAATGCTTTGGTGGGAAAAAAAAAAAAAAGAGACGAAGGCCATCTGTTTTGGCATCTAAAATGGACGAAAAAGACCCATTACAAAAATATAGGATTTTAAGGATTAAATTGAGATAAATCCCTATTTGAGGAACTTTTAAAACCGAAATCATAATTTTAGCCATTATCTGTAAATATTTTTACCAAAAAGAAAAAAAGAAAACTCTCTAGATGATATTTAGTTGACAATGATCTTGTGTTCTTGATGGTATGAGCAGGGGGTCACATAAACCCAGCAGTGACCTTCGGGATGTTCTTGGCTCGAAAGGTGTCACTGATCCGAGCTCTGATGTACATGGTGGTTCAGTGTTCAGGAGCCATATGTGGTGCTGGGCTCGTGAAGGCCTTCCAGAAGTCTGACTACAAGAAGTACGGTGGTGGGGCCAACGAGCTCGCCCTCGGCTACAGCACCGGCGTTGGATTGGCTGCTGAGATCATAGGAACGTTCGTTCTTGTGTACACCGTCTTCTCAGCCACTGATCCCAAGAGAAGCGCCAGAGATTCCCATGTGCCTGTAAGCACCCCAAACATTCCTCCACTTCTAACATTCTAAACTCTAAAGTTATAAGATCATAATGCCCCTTTTTTATGTAACGGTGAGGTGAGATGTAGTCGGATTAGTTTATGTGTATTTTTATGAATTTTTACGTTAAAATTAAGATATTTATGAGCGATAAAATTACACATATTTACAAAAAAATACAATTTTAAAATATCAGATTACCCATTAAAAGTCAAGTTACAGTTCATTGAGGTTTTTTATGAACTATTGCAAATATTCGATGATCAATCTTGTGGTTGATCACGAATAACTTCACCTTCACCTAGTCGTACTTTCACATTTAAAAAGTATTAATGCTATTGAGACATAATGAGTTGTCACCAGTGAAATGATAGTGAAATATATTTAATGATGAGTCTCATTATAGCATTAATGAATTTATTATCATATCATTGGTGACAAGTCATTATGTCTTTAAATTATATTCATAAATTATGTCCTAATAGCATTGTTCTTTAAAAAATATCACTTAACTTTGAAAAATTATAATTTTTTTTTTTTTTTTTGTAATAAAAAATATTTTTCGATACCTTTGCATAGGTGTGTACATGTGGGTAGGGTAAATGATAGGGATGCTATTTAATAGCATGTGATGGCTGAGGTAATGTTGGAGAGACATTGTGGTAGTTGTAACAAATAACCAGTACAGAGCTTTAAAGGCACGGGTTGTCCGTTTTGCTTCCTAGAAATCGTCAATTTGGACCACTGGCTTGGTTTGTTTACTGGACATCTCATAAATGAGTTTTGCAGTTGATGTTGCACCCAATGTTCGACTGTGTTCGAGTTCGGCTTATTTAATTTAAATAATTGTTTAGATTCATTTATATATAAAATAATTGAACTATTCGACTCGACTCAATTTTGGCTTCCAGTTGAGCTCATCTCATTTTATTTAAATAATTTTTTAAACTCACTTAAAGAAACGAGTTGGTTTGAAGTGGCAAAACTCGGTTTAATTTTCTAAAATCTAAAATAGGAAAATGAAGACTAATTATTTGGTGGTGGTCTGTTTTTGAAAATTTAAGGTGTTGGCACCTCTTCCAATTGGATTTGCTGTGTTCATGGTTCACCTGTCCACCATCCATATCTCCGGTTCCGGCATCAATCCGGCTAGGAGTCTTGGGGCTGCCGTGATCTACAACCAGAGCAAGGCTTGGGATCACCATGTCAGTATATTCTATCTACGAAAATTCTTTTAAATGATAAATTTCCGTCGTTAATTATTGCTGCCTATAATTATTTAATTTTCCATTTTAATATTTTTCAGTGGATCTATTGGGCTGGACCCTTCATTGGTGCTGCCATTGCTGCCTTCTACCACCAGTTTATCTTGAGAGCTGGTGCCGTTAAAGCTCTTGGTTCAATCAGGAGCAGTTCCCTTGTTTGATATCGAAAATCCCGAGTTGTCGAAGTTATCGTGGGTTCTATTCCTTCTCCATGGTTTTTGCTAGAAGTTATTGAAAGGAGGAAAAATGATATTACTAGAAAAAGAATAATGGAGGAAAGCTTTTGCTTGTATGGTGGTCTGCTGCTATGGGAGGGATATGAGAATGTTTGAGATATGGCAATGTAGATGAAGTAGTCTATGTGGGAAGGGAAAGCTTTTTGTATCACTTTTGTTCTTAGCACTTTAACTTTGAATGTTATTATTGCTCTTCAATTTCTAATTTTCTCCAACCTTTTTATAGTGCATTCATATTTGCAGGGCTCTTCAATTTCGATTGATTCAAATTGGTTTTCAAAAGTTCGATTCAATAATTCGACGGATTAATAATTTGAATTCTGATCTGAAAAATCAATTTGATCTGAATAACTTAATTAAATTTTATTAAATTATACATAAATTTTAAATAATTTTTTTAAATAATCTCCAAATTACTTTAATATTTATATTGAAATATTTAAATAATTCGGATCGAATCATAATCAGATCCGATATAGGTATATTCAAATCCAAATTTATAAAATATAATATATCTGATTAATCAAATTCAGATCTGAATTGAATTTATATTAGAATCTGGTGTATTGAGAGACCTAAATATATGCTTTCGTAAGTTCAAAAGTCCAGGGTTTAAATCTAACCGATATGTTGGTTAGCCGGTGAAAGGGGTAAACGGTGATTTAATTAGAGATACTTGAAGATGTATCGAGATTTCATCATTTCGCATGAGCAATCAAACATTGAAATTGCCACTTTCGGTTATGACACCAAGATAAAGTTTAGAGAGGAGGTCCACAGAATCTGGAAAATCCAACATTTGTTTGTTTGTGGTGGGGGTGGGCATTCTTTTACCAAATCAAAAAACATGAAAGACAGTCCGTCCGACTAAAAAAAAAAAAAACAGAAAAAAAACATGAAGGATGGGTGGGGTTTGGGGAAGCATTTGGTAGTGTGTTTGTCCTCCAATGGTACATGAGTTTTTAAAGTTGGATTAGATATGCACTGCTCTCTATAAGTTCGAACTATTGGATGTGTTTTTTTTTTTTTGGTTTAATGGTCAGGAGTATTCAAATCAGTCTATACATATTTTGACTAATTTTTTTTCGGTTCGGTAAAAGATAGACCATTTACACCGAAATTAGGATATTAATGAAAAATGAATTCAAACAATTGTATGTCTTCTTTGTTTTAAGAAAATTTATGCCCCAAAAATAGAACAAAGCAATACAAATAAACTAAAATTTGTCACATTAATAATTCCACAATACAAAAGCAAAGTAAAATAGTTCGATGCTGATTACTTGGTATAGTGGTAAGATTGTTGAATTTAATAATCACGAGGTTGTGTGTTTAAATCCAAAAACGAGGTCAAACGTATCCATCCGCACTCCTGACTAATTGGATCATGCGCTAACACAAATTGAATCACACAAAAATAAATATGTCACGCATAAGTTGAACTAATTTTAATATGGCACTAGACATGAGACAAACTCAACACACAACATGGCCAATCACCATTTCTATTCTCAAATTCGGCTAGAATTTTTCATCCATGGAGACATAGGGAGCGGGACCAACTGGGCAAGAAGTTTGATCCTCCTCAGTTAGATTAATTGAGGTGGTTTAATGAGGTACCCATTGAATTTTTTACTTTGAGGTTGGAGGTTCAAATCTTAAAATTTATACTGGGGTTCGGTGATTAACTGTTATATTAGTTTAGTTAAGTTTATTTTCTAGAAGAGTAATGAGTGCGGTTAAAAGCTTCATGATTCTATTAGTGAGAGTCTATTGAGGTGGTCTTTGAACATTTTTTTTGACGAAAAAAAGAAAAAAGTTAAATTGAGTTTTTCTTTAAAAAAAAAAAAACAAATGAAAGAACCTATATTAGAGTAGCCTAACTAACAGGCAAAACTAAAGGCTATAGTTTTACAAATTACTGCAAGGAAAGAAAGTTAATCATATCAAGGCTTTAACTTCATGAGAAATATTACATTATTGACATTTTACTTTTTAAAACCAAAAAACTCATAAAAATAGTAAATTTTATCTAAAATAATGATAAATTTTATCCAATAAAGTAGTAAATAAACTTGAAAAAGTGATTACAGCTCAAAAACTAGAAAGTTTAACTGAAAATGTGATATAAATACTAAAAAAAGTGATAAATGCTATGGTACCGATTTTCTTTATTCATACCACGATCAAACTCTACCTTGACTATTACCCATTTTGTTTAATATATAACTTGATCAATTGACCAAGAAATTCATTTTCCAAAAAAAAAAAAACTTTAATTTCAGCCCCACCAGGTACACCCACCTAGGATTTTCATTTACCAAAGCTAGAAACCAAATCTCCCCTCCCCATGCCCCCTCGCCCTCCTTTGTTTACTTTCCTCCCACCTAGACCTAGGTATTAGACTCCATGGCATAACCGTTCCAGAAGCATGGAATGGACTCATTCTAAGCACCCTCTCTCTCCCTCGTTTAAGGCTTTCTGCGTGTTGTCAAAGTAAACTGATACAAACGTATTTTACTTAGAAAGCAAGGCACTAGCTCGGTGAATGAACCTGCCTTGCTTTGTAAAGTTTGTTATTTTATTTTAATTAATGTTGGTATATCACAAGTAATATAGCAGAGGTTGAACTATTTCCCTGGGTACACGCATCTTATGCAATTCTTTAAGCTTGAAAGGCTTTTTATTTTTAAGTTTTCGTTGAGCTTAAGAGATCCGGCAATCTTTAATCATCCCATGATGCACTTTTGGCTTAAACTATTGGAACTTGGAAGTCCGGTTCTCAATGGTTTGTATGGTATCGTGTTAAAATTTATTCAATTTATATTCAATTTATTTATATTTGTGTATAAATTGAGATCAATCGGTTTAGAAAGTCTGTGTCGGTTTCGTATTGATCCATTTATTTGACAAATATAACTGACCCATCTACCATTCGAACTCGCTAATACTTAATTCAAACTCACTAATTTTGTATAAAATTTTAAATCGTATCTAAAATTATCACTTCCACTTGGAAAGATGAGTTGTTCTACCTCTTTTGTGCTCTCTCTCTCTCTCTCTCTTCCCCTTCTCACACAAAGATACAAATCCAAGATATTAATCTAAGAGATACATATGTATATAAAAAGAGACACAAAGAGACACAAAGAGGAGATTTGAGCTTGTTCATTATAAAATTTGTAGTGAAATATTATATCATATCTGCTAAATGTCTCTTTTGGATAGTTTATAACTCACTCTTTTAGATTTTAATTTCAACAAATAATGTCCTTTAAGTTTGAATATTTTGTAATTAACTTCAATGGTTATTATTATTAGACAATAAAAATTGATAAAAGTTAGATATGTTAAATTCATGTAATCTCTACTTTGTTGAAAAGAGATAATTACCCTTATATTTAGTTTTTTTACTGTACCAAATATCCATACTAATTCCCCTTACCCTTACGTTCTTTCATTCTGTTCCTCTTTTCGATAGAAACGCTATGTTCCCTATTATGAGGATAAGGTGAAGGTTTTCTTATATTTTAGTCTTAACTTTTCTATTTCCTTATTTTTTAGAAATAAAATTGGCATCTAAAAAAAAAAAAAAGAATAATGTACAAGATGAAGAATGTAATGGTTCTTTCAAGTGTTCGGACACACTATTGTTAGCCAATTTAATCTACTTGAAATTTTGAGGAGATAAATTATAATATTTAAAATCATAAAAAATTGATTGTAACAAAGGACATAATTAGAGGAATAGATGGTAATTAACCCAAACAATAACTACCATTAAAATGCTTTAAAGTTGGTGGGGCCTATTGGAGCAGACTGACATTAATGACTGTAAATGCATGCTTGGTACTATTTTTGCCATTAGTATCTCTCCTTCAGCCGGACATTTCTCCGACGACTTAGGAAACAAACTTTCCTGCTCATGGTCTTTCAACTATAATCTCGTTTTGAGTTTACCATTATAAGTGCTGACGGTATTAAAATGCCGAAAAGAATTTAAAATGGGCATAGTTTGAATGAGATCAAAACTTTTTGTCAACCTTAGTGTTGAATACTCTTTTCTAAAATCCACACATAAGACTAATTGTGTAGTATTCTAGCTAAAATCCATATATAAGACATTGTCAAAAATCTAATTGAAGAGAATTTCATACTTTATGTCGGCCATTGGCGTATTTCTAATATAAATTGTATAATTGATTTTATTATAATAATTAAGGATAAAATCAAAAATCAAAAAAATTTCTCTGATACTAACATTTATATTAGTATATATATATAGATAAAGCTTAAATTTCTCCCATTGTGGGGAGGTTTGACGTGCTTGTTCTAAAGATTGTCTAGAAAATGACACTTGATTAGTAAGGGGTCCTATTATATAACTCTTCAAAAAAAAAAAAAGGGTGAATAAATTTTTAGAGGTTTATCCGTAGAATTATGCAATAGAAAAATTTTCTTGTTGAACGATGACATAGGTAGAGACCAAAAAACAAATTTCTTGGAGACGGAGTTGGATCACCAATTTTAGTATTTGACATTCTAGATGATGTGATTTATTATTTATTCAAATAAAATATCATACTAGTATGTAACGCTATCGCCAATAATAAGATAATAAGATTTGATAGAGCAATCTTAACCCTAGTTTCAAGAGGCTAAATCTCATCATATGTCTCAGTGTTTATGGGGGAGGGCGTGGGATCGCCCCCAAATAGTTTTTTTTTTTTTTATCACAATATTATTAGATATAAATACTGTCCAAATATGTAAAATTAATTTTTCAATAATGTTGATTTGCAAACATTATTCCTTTTTTTTAATCACATTTTCTAACTTATCTCTCAATATAATGTGATTTCCATGATTGACCCGCACTTTTCACTATAAAATGATATTTTGAAATCACGTTTTCAAGATTTTAATTGAAAAAATATATATATTTTGCAAAAACTCGAGTATATACATTTGCCTCACCTAAACTTTTTTTTCGAAACAAAAAATATTGTCTCGCACATAAGAGTGGGAGCAATGTTGATATAATTTGTTGGAGTATGTCCCTTCTTTCTCACCCTCCCACCAAAACCATTAATACTCTCCCACAAACATGTACCCACTTAACAAATCTTCCCCTTCACTTTCCTCTCCAATTAATCATAACTATTGACAATGGACTCTAGTATTTATTTACAACCATAATAATTATGATGAATTATATCGACAAATTCAAATAACATTATTGTAAAAATGATAACGTAATGTTAATGTTACTGGTCTTGAGTAGTCTAAAGTTTCAACTTACAACTAGATTGCTAGTGACCAACACCATAATGGCCTTTGAAACCAAAGTATGATCATTTCTTCCATTCACATATCCGCATGGTATAAAAGCAATGATTTAAATGACTCAGTCATCGTGCAAGACCAACTGTTTAGTCTTCTGGAAAGCAAGCATTATGTGTTGGGAGTCATGTTTAGTAGACGTGGGCTCTATTTGGGGTTGATTTTGACGTGTTCATCTATGCGCCTCTTAGTGCATTTCACTTGTAATAACCGACCCAACTGCATTTGATATTATCTGTTATGGGTTTTATTTTTTATTTTTTTTAGTAGTTTTACGATATATTACAACTATTTTGACTGAGCAATTACATATACAGATCATATACTTTATCCAAGTATAAGATGTGCGACACGTGCATATTGTATATTAAGTGTATCAAAATATGATACGATCTACTAACACTACATGAAATTAGAGGGTTTTGATCTTTCTTAAGCCGCTCATTTAATAAACGAGTGAACTAGATACGATTAATAAAATAATCGGTTACGTGTGGAGCTAATCAAAACAAATACACGATATGACTCGTTTATATATTATTTGTACGCGAATTAGTAAACAAATCAAGAATAGATAAAGTGTTTTTTTGACAGGAACTCATCTCACTCGACATAATTGATAGGTCAGTACACAGAATAAATAACCTTATTAATCTCCTCAACTCACCCCTTTTTAAGATTTCTTCAACTTTTGGGCAATTAAACTTTCGATTATCCTATGACTAATTCTCGAAGGCACACGAATAGTATACCGTTCTAGATGCACCCGACAATCCGAATTTGACTATGGATGTTAGCAAAACAATGCCCATCACCATAGGGAGAGCGATTTAATTAGGAGAAGCATGATGGCGACAAGGTGGACATAGGTTGGGCTTTTTGATGGCGGAAGGCCAGCCCAATATGTGATATGGGTTCTGGCTAAGACTCGGCCCAACATAAATCAGTATTCTAAACTCAATTCCTAATAAATTTATTGATTTTGGAGTCTATTCTAGCCCATGTGTATCAAGGAGTCATAACATATTAAAATTCTCTAATTCAACTTTAAATTACGTTCCTAATCAAAAAAAAAATTATATTACGTTTGGTTGCTAAAAATACTTCGTATTATACCTAATTTTATTTTCGTATACATAAAAAAAAGATATATATATATATATATAGAAATAATACGTTATACCCGTACTATTGAGCCAATTTCAATACCAGCTGAAGAAGTGGTATTACAATACAATAAAACTATATTAAGTTTTATTTTACTATTTTGCCCACCAGTCAAACAAAAGCATGTATAACTAGATTAAATTGATGATTTTTTAGTCAATATGTAATTAGTACTCTATTATCTCACTCTTATCCAATATCTTATCAAATACTATATTACAATAAGTATTATTTATATCTCATATTTAATCTTGTGTTTTATTCGCTTAAATATAATTAGTCTGTATTAACTAATACAATTTGTTCTTTTATTATACGACAACCAAACGAGGCATCCCACTTTTCATCAAGGTGAAGTCTAATGAATCTGTTTTTAATATGTAAATATCCACTATTACCCCTTCCAAACACAAAGGAAATCTATCTAACATTATAAGTTAGGCAGTTAAATTCTCAACTTATAAAAATACAACGACGACAAAAAATGATCCATTTTTCATAATTTTTTATCATCAAAATTCTTTTTTTTTTCAATTTAGTACACTTAGATTTGTACAAAGCAGGTAAGTTGTTAGGTTGATCAACTCACTTATAAAAACACAACAACAATAAAGAATGATCCATTTTTCATAATTTTTTATCAACAAAATTCTTCTTTTTTGTTTTTTTACACTTAGATTTGTACAAAGCAGGTAAGTTGTTAGGTTGATCAACTAACTCACTTATTCTTTGTGTAAAATGACTGTTTGGGGTTTAGATTGTGGTCCAAATAAACTCAAACCCATCCCAATCAACATCAGGCTTAACACATGGCCCAGCCTCACAACTTGGTTCCACAAAATGGGATTAAACAGGCTATAATTTAGTAGGTGTGTTAATTTGGTCGTGTCCTAAGCCGCATAGAGCGGGAGGGCAAAAGCATAAAATTTTAACAAAATCTTAGAGCATGGGCGTTTTGAAAGCATCACACTATATGCATATATAAATATTTATATGTATACAAATTAAAAATAATAGTGTGAATGCTTAATAAAAAAAAGCCTGTAAAAACCATTTTTATTTTTTTGGATCAAATCCCACATCTAAAGGCTGTAAGAGTTGGCAGCAAAGACATTCCCAATAAAGCTGGCAGCATGACATCCTTCTAGCCACTCATCTTATATTGGCTGGCTAGAGGGAGTGTTTTTTGATGAGAAGCTGGCTTAGAGGGAGGTCAGTTCACTAATTTTTGCATGTGAGTGAGGCCCACGGTGGAAAGTCTTTTGCAAAGAAAAGTGGGCTGGCCTAATATAAAGTAGGTTAATTGTAAATTGTATTTTGAAAGTTCGTTTGAATCTTAATTTATATTTTTTAAAAATTAAAAATTTTAATTTATACTCTCAAAAATAAAAATTTATATCAATATGCATCTTCAAAGATAAAAAAATCTCAATTTTCACAAAATTTGTATCAATGTGCACCCTCAATCTAAAATGTCCCCCCAATTGGGCATTTAAATAATTATATTTAAGTAATATATTGCATTGTATATAAAAAAATATTATATAAATACTTACATTTTATTGGACATTCAAATGGTAAGTTAGATTTTGAACTTTAGAGTATATCGGACCCACAAAATAAAAGGTAATATGAAATTATAATTTTTTATTAGAATAAAATCATATTTTTTTATATTAACAGATATCAACGAAAAATGGTTACGTATTATATGTGTACAAACGTCATGAGATGTAAGAATAATATTCTAAATGTGAAGAGGTCCAAATGATTAAGTGACAAGTATGAGGGGATTTAGATATAATTTATTAATTTAATTTTAAGTAATAAACTGACAGCAATTAGTTTTATGTGCACATTAATACAAATTTCTATCTTTGAGGGGCAAATTGAGATTTTTGATCTTTGTGGGTACACATTGATACAAATTTCTATCTTTGAGGGTACAAATTAAAATTCGAACGATCTTTTCGAGGTGAATTTGCAATTAACCCTATATAGTATTGGGTCTATGAAGGTTTAAATAGTTTAAAATTTAAATTTACAAATTTGCCTTTGAGTTTGTGGATTCAAAAATTTGAGAGTGCGATTTATTATCGAATTCGCTCTTAAATTGCAAATAGGCATATTAAGGTCGTTCTTTTGTAATATCATTTGAAATCACATTGAATTATGTCATTTTTATGTGTATCTTCTTCATGTCAATGTTCGTTTTGGTAAAATTCTATTTTATTATAAAACTAGTCATACAACACTAGATAAATATATTAAAATTTTTAACTTTTTTTTGCAACAACTACAAAGGTTATTCATGTCTAAGAAACACTCAATTCATATATTACTCGTCCTTCTTTTACGATTTTAAGATTTATACTATATCAAGTTCATGTGATATAGCAATTTTAGACAAATTCCTTGTACCATCGAGAAATTGGCAGAGTTAGTGAATTTAGGTTTTAGTGGCTCCAAATAGTAAATTGATAGACCAACCAAATCCATCAAGTAAATTAGCCGATGTAAAATACAATTAATACACAATAAGAACTTGAACGTGACAAAATTTTATACGTACATAATTATATTGAGTTGAATATAAGTTAAATAAATTTTAATCCGACACAATGTCTCTAACTTAAATACAATACAAATGGAACTCCACAATTGCGTCCCTTAGAATTACATATAAATTGAGGGGAAATTATAAACTCTTTTCACGTTGTTTCCACCGTTGTTATATTTCTCATGTTGTATCTTTAATTATATTATTTTAGTATTTGAACTATTAAATATATATTTGTGTGGTCTATCAAGTAGATAGTGTCCAAATTCTAGCGATTTTTTAATCCTAAAATTTTGGTCAAAAAATTATCTAAATTACACAGGTTTGATTATAAATTATTCAAATTTTGGTTAAGAGTTATTCATATTACATATTTTTTTGTCAAAAATTACTTAAATTATTTTTTGTCTTCGTAATAAATTATGACAAAAAACTGTTAGTAATTTGAATATTGTCTATTTGAGGAACCACATAAAAATATATTTAATATTTTAGGGATTAAAATGATATAATTAAAGTATTTGAGATCAAATTGAAACAATTTTATAATTTAGGGACTTCGGGTACAATTTTCCTAAATCCCTAAAATTCGCTGACCAAAAAACAAAAAACCTAAATTCAGTTATTTCCTGCTGCGTTTCCGTACAAACCAGAGGGAGAGAGAGACATAGAGATGCATCTATGGCCATCAATGAGAATAAGGGACTCATTCAAGCAGGCATACCTGAAGAAACTCGAATGGAACCTCCATAGAATGAAAACCGAAAAGGATCGGCAGCCCCAAAGCAGTAGCCAGCAAAAACTCTTGGACGATAGTAATAATGGAGGATCAGATATTTCTGTTGATCCAACACCCAATACGAAGAGCAATCCTGGTGAGGTTGCCCTTGTGCTTTGCAGAGAGCTACTCATGATTCTCTCTTGCTGTTACTGTTGTTTCTGCTGTGGAGGTACCCATCCTCTCTCCCGTCCCCCCCTCTCCCTCTGTCAAATTTTATCTGTGCATCACCATTTATGTTGTGTTTCCTGTTCGAATGGAGGTTCTTTTTATATGGTTTTGGTTTTATTTTGTTTAATCTTTCGTGTTTTTCATTGATTTGAAAAGGGTTTTAGGGCTTGTCTGTTTTTATTGAGGAAAATTAAGCCACATGTTTGTTTAGTGATTCTGTGTGTAGCATGTAGTTGCTCTCAATTCTTTTTAAATATTATAATTTTCTGGGTCTGCCAAAAGTTTTGACATATCCTAAATATCACAACCAAAAACAATCGTAGACTATGAAGCAGATGCCCGACTATTAGCTGCATAGGCCTTTAAATTTTGATTCAAAGTTGTAATCTTAGCTGAATAGCTTGTGGCTAGAAGGTGGATTTAATTTAAGTACTTCTTTAATCTAATCTGGTGGAGTGTAAAAATTGCAGCAATAGGCAATAAAGGGCATTTAAATTGTTTGAGCATGTGCAACAAACACAAAGACTAATACCTACTCCTATAGCGGTGGTGTGATCACCATTGATGGTGATGTTACGGAAAAGGGAAAGTCAAAAATTAATGTGGATTGGAATTGTGAAGAAATATATGATACCTTATGATATGTGAACAAGTACACAACAGCTTGTGAATGATGTATGTCCCCGGACAGAGCTGGATGGCAAGACAGAATTGATGTGGGCAAATAAGCAGTTTGAATTAGTTTTGCAGTGGAATATATGTCCATGATCTCCAGAAATTTTGGCAGTCTTTTCTGGAAGCCTTAGCTTATGTGATATTAAACATCGATTACTAAAGGTAAAAATGGAAGCCATTAGAAGCCTTAGCCTTTGATAAAACGTATCCATCTTTGCTGCGAGCTGTTAACTAATAACTGAAGCAGCTTCACTTCTGTTTCAAAACTGTTCATCCTCCAAGGAGATTATTGAGAGGTTGGTTGTTATTTCTGATGGAAGACATATGATTCTTGGAGTTAATTTCTCATGGTCATGGATCTATAGAATATATAGGGTTACTCTTAGTTTAAAATCTGATGGTTAACAGATATATGGCCGAATGTGGAGGTTTACCAATTAAGGTGACTAGTGGACGGAAATTGAAAGGACCGGTAAACATTACTGTTGACTATGAAGGAGGTGGCAAGAACGAAGATGATGATTATCCATTGCCTTGGTGATGAAATATCAGACCTGCCATTGTGAATATGTAATTTTCCAGAATTTCGCATTTCTTAGTAGCTCTTGATCAACCAGGTTAATCTATTTGTATAAACAGATCAATTTATTCGTAGAGAACTCTATCTGCTTGTAAGGGTGGATCAATCCTTTTCCAGGCTAATTAACCTTATCTAATTTTTGTGTTCTATGTATTTACGTTGGTGATGGAGGTGGGTCATAATTAACCTCATCTACAAGCATCATATTCTGTCGCTTAGTACTGATGATTAATAATGTGCTGGATTGTCAAATATTTGTTTAGGAAACCTAATAACAACAATAGATTCACTTGTTTAGTCACTTTAGGCTCGCGAAGTTGTGTAATTCAAACTTAAGCCAACCAATGGTGGATTTGGGGTAAGGGGAGGGGGCCAATCGTCCCCTGAAGTTTTTTTATTTTTCCAAAACCATTACTATACAAGTATTAACTTTGAAAATTATAGTTCCACCACCCATATTTTTTGAAAAAAAATTAAGAGTTCATTCCTTTATATAATTATATTTAGCTTATTAAATTTATCAATATATAGCCAAGTATCAAATCTTGCTTCTAATTTTTGAAGTTTTGCATTTTATGAGAGAGATCATGAATATTATTATGATCTTTGCCAAGCTTTGCACCATAAATCTCAAAATATATGCAAGGAATTCAAAGCATCTAGTGTTCAAAACAAAAAACTAGATCTAGGTGAGAATTCAGAGAAGATGGAT